ATATTTTTTTTAGTTTGATTTTTAAAAAAAATGTCAAAATGACGTCATCAGTAGCAAATAAGGGCCCAAATGTGACCCTTTAAGCACTTTCAGAAAGGCACGTAAAGTTTTTCTCATTCGAGATATCAATGTTAAACTATTTAAGTAGTTTTTGTAATGTCCACTTCATTTCCAAGAAAAAGTTACTTGTAGCGTCCAGACTATATTTAAAACTATTACTTATAACTTTTTTTTAACGACGTCTTTCAACCGAATGCTATTATACTGTTTTTGCAAAACTAATTTAAAAAACTTGGTTAAAACTTAACTATTTAATCACGACTTTTTTTTACTTGAAAATCGAAGTAGATATTCTAAAGTTGTTGTGACGTACTAACGTGATTTTTAACGACTAACAATCGAGTTTCAATGGTGAAAAAATCAAATCAAAATGGAGTTGCTTTTTAGTGATTTCGGCAATTGCTTTTTGTTAGGATGCATTTATTATTACAATTTAGTGAAAAAGAAAAAAAGTTTACATATTTTTTTTTTATGCTCTTTCATATGAGATCATATGTTAGGAGCACTTAGGGATCCCTTTAAATATAAAAAATGTTTATCTCCATTTTACAAACAAATTTCTTTTTGGTCTTTCGCGTTTTGTTCAGGAACAAAAAAATAATGTTTGATATTCGCACAATTTTTTGCGATATTTTTAAAATCATAAATTATTACCGTCTCTTAACAATTGCGCAAGTTAAAAAATAAGAATTGAATGAATTTATTACAATGAAAAGATATTAAAATATATTTTTGAAAAAGAAATCAATTTTAGTGATTTTATATATGTTTTATATTCACAATATTTATACATTAAAAAAAAACATTAACTAATTTTGTTTTTAAAGTATGCAAAGGATATACTAGTCTCGACAAACTTGAAACTTTTAAATATAAAAATGTCTTTTTCCTTTAATTTTAGAGTAAAAAATTAAAAAAAAAAATCCGAACCAAAATAGTTGAAATTTGCCACAATTGTTTAAAGACATAAGTTAGGAAAGGCTAAATTTTTTTTCATAAAATTCCTATCCGATTAGGTTTTACAGTGACTTGACTGACTGAAAAAATCAGGAGATGAGAAGGGGGGATGAGATTTTATATCACTTTGAATGACTGAAAAATGAGAGGGGAGGGGTCTTGAAAAGGTGGTTGTAGTAATGCTGTGATGCTGAAGTTTGGTGCCAAAAAAGTTTAAAGTTTGTTGAATCTGAAAAATTATATTTTTGTAGCTTTTAAAACAAGGCAGTTTATTTTAAGATTTACAAAGTGACAATAAAAAGGACATTGACAACTATAGGTTTAGAAAAAATCTGACTTTTAAAAAAAAACTTTAATTATAATTTTCTTAAAGATTAGATGTAAAAACGATATACTATCCTCAACAAACTTGTAACTATTTAAAATATAAAAATGTCTATCTCCATTTTACAAACAAAGTTTGTTTTGGTCTTATGTTTTGTTCAGGAACAAAATTGATGAGGACTATTTGGACACAAATCTGAGGAGCACATTAGTTTTCTTCTAAATTAATGTTTTCAATAACTCCTACCCACAACTTTGGCTCATAAGAATCACCTGTTACCAAGTTTACAATACCTGGATATCCAAATATTCCAAAGTTGTGAACACTGTATAGCTTTGTACTTACCTAAACAAAAAAAGAAATATTAGCATTTATTCAGTTTTATTTTGTTAAACAACTTTTATTGAAGATATTAAAAAACATTTTTGAAAATGTTTGTCCTCACAAATAAAAAGTATATTAAATAAGTATTTGTTTACCTTTTGATGATCAAGTGCTACAAACTGATGGTAACTTCTTGTTCCAGATATAGTATTTGCAGTATCTTATCCTTCTTTAAGAGAGCCAAAAGATTTAACCAAAGTTAAATCTTCTGGTGATATATAAGTTAATTGTACACCTTCAGTATTTTCATTGCAATTTAACCTCTATAATTTTATATATCGTGTTCACATCATGTGTCATATCATCTGAAGCAATACAATAAGATTTGTGCTTAAGAACAACTTCCTTTTTTGAAATAAATAACAATAGGATACATTGTAAATTTGTCCAATAAAAGCTTTGTACTTTGTCTTGAACTACAAATTTATAGTTTTTTGAAAAACATGTACATAGCTTGTGGAAATAAAATATGATTAACCATATCTCTTTGCAGACTTGCTAGAGTTGCTAACTGTTTGACTGTACTACCTATCCCATCAAAAGGTTGCATACTATGAATAGTTGCAAAAAAGTTCTATTTAGCAGAAAGATCAAATTTTTCGGATGGAAATAAAGATTTAAAATATTTTTTCAATTTTTATTTTGACTTGCACATTCATCTGAGAAGTAATTCAATATTTTAAATAATTCAATATTTTTAATCAGAGGTAGATTTGGTTTAATATCATTGATGTCAACCTCTATAATTTTATATACCATGTTCACATTATGTGTCATATTATCTGAAACAATACAATACGATTAGTGCTTAAGAACACCTTGATTTTTGAAATAAATAACAACATGATACAATGTTAAATTTTCCAATAAAAGCTCTGTACTTTGTCCTTAATTGTAAATTACATGTGTTTTTTTATAAGCATAACGTTTATAAGCATATGGAGGCTCAGATTTGGAAAAAAAATAAGCATACGTAAGCATATTCCGGAGCCTCAATAAACCATTTAAAAAATTTGAATTTTATTTATTTTATTATTTCATTTATTTCAAATTTTATTTATTTTATTATTTCACACTAGTCAATTCTAGGTCATTTAGGTTGAAAATTTGATTACTTAAAAAAATTTTATTACAAAGTGTTCAGGACTATTATACAGACAATATTATGAAAAGAACAAATTATTTGGTGTACGTCCTGATGAGAAAATCAATTTTAAAAGGGGATCAGGGCAACTTTTTCCCCCTCCCCTTTCCCCCCTTTATTTATTAAAAAAAAAAATTATGCCATCTTTAAAAAAATCAAGCATCAGTTACATATTCAAAAATTCAATAAAAAATATCTTGGCGTTCAAAAGATATAACCATTTTAATTGAAACTACAAAAAATTAAGTTATATATTATGTATATATATCCCTCTGTATATGTATATATATACTCTGAAACAGTATAATATAATCCATAATATATACTGATTTAATGCAATCTTCAAAACTATATAATATACAAGTATGTATAATTACAAGTATGTATAAGTACAAGTATGTATAATTGTGTAATCAATAGCAAAGAAAAAACTTAAATTCTATGACTTGAATATTCAACTATTGCCTTTCAAAGAAGCTCTCCATGGTTCTCTCTGAATTCCGAAGTTGAGAATCTGCTTAGTGTTTTCAACATATTATGATGAACAGATTCAGAATATTGTTCAGAAAATACTCCCAATGGCAGCTTAGTTCTATTTAAAAACATGACAAGATGGTGTTCAATTATATGACCTTTCCATCCCATAGAGAGATTGTGGTTGAATGTAGTCGTCACATACTCTTGGTTTTCCTAAATTATATATTATAATAATTTAAAAAATGGTTAATATAAACAAAAATTAAAACTTTATTTTTAAATGTATGAGTTGTTTATGCATTTATGTAACTATTACCTTTAACTTTCTTATATATGTTGCAATGGCATCAGCATAACCGTCATGGAGTTTCATTCCGAAACACATGTTTACTACTAAATGTAAATTTTAGTGTCATTTGTGAGAAATTGCTTTTGATTCAATAAATATTTCTTTTTAAATCATAATTAACTTTTAATATACAAATACTTTGTAAAATTAAGTATATTTAAAATTTACCTGAAGAAAAAGACTTTAACAGTTCAACAACTGGATAATAAGAAGAAAAGTTATCTAAGATAAATTTTTCCAAATCTGGCAAAAGCTTTTGTATTTTGTTAGCATTTCTACCGTCCAGTCCACCTCCATTATACCCATGCCAAATAATTCCATGCTTTTTTAACCAGAGAGCGACATCAGGTTCCTTACAGAAGACATTTGAAATTTCTGTTATAATCATCATCATTCAATGTAGTTCTGGAGGAGGGATGACATCAAGCACATACATCTCCAGACTCAACCAGGAGACATGGATGTATAACATTCCTATAGAGTTGCATAGAGCTTTTTTTAAATCCACTTTCAGCAAAGTTTTTATTCGTGTTCTTAAGCATATTAAAGGTTCTAAGTTCTCCAAGATTAGTTTTATCACCATCACAAAATAAACATGAATATTTTCCCCCATGTCCTGACAAATCTAAAACTATGTTGCATAATTTAAGATCTGCAGCAAGGTAAAACTTTAAATTGTTTAGCTTTGTTTTTTCTATAAGAATTTGAAGATTTGTGTGGCTTTTGCAAACATTTTTGGCAAAAGCCAATATTATAACTTTGTTCACTCCAGTATTCTTGGTTTCCTTGGAGTCATAATTTACTTCTCTGTTAAAAACATTCATAATAACTTTTAAAGATCCTTGGCCACTATCTATTCCTATACTAATAATAACATTCTCGACTACTAGTCCCCTAGCAATGCAAACATGATTAACTAGAGATACTGGATCTTTGACACACACTAGATCTTTAATGACAGTTTCAATAGTTTTATTTTCTTTAACTTTATTTTTTGATAGAAACTCCACTTTTTCCACTGAGTAATAGTTATCTAAGGCATGTGACATTATCTTAATTTTTTTGGAAGAATTAGATTCCACACCTAATCTACCCAAATCTTTTCTTAATTCCATTGCTATTGAATCAATAGTACAGTCTGACATATCATGCTTTCTTTTGATATTATAGAAAGTTTGGGTAGAGATAGTTTTAAGGGTTGGCTTTTTCCCTATCTGCAGACTTAAAGTAGTTCCTCCAGTCGACAATGTAACAGTGATGTCTAACTCAATATTTTTAAATTGTTGAATTTCTTTCAAAGATTTGCTAAGTACTTGCTCAACTGTTTTTAAACCTGAAAATTTGTAAATATGTTTTAGGATTACGTAAAAATTTAGGTTTAAAAAAACTATAATTAAGCTCTTACCTGTTGACATTAGCAGTGTTTTTAGGTTCTGTACAATGTCTCTCTTATTACAGGTTTGTTGAATTCCAGATCCAATTCTCTGATAACAAGTACAACAAATTTTATCTATAACCTCCTTTGGCACTTCAGGGTCATTAATGTACATGTTTAATACATCCTAAATAAATAAAAAACTATACTTATTTAAAATATACTTAATTAAACTATAATAAAAGTTGTAATTTTATAAATGTTTTTAATGTAAATAATTGAGCTACATATATGAGTTCTTTATAAATTACCTGAAGGTTTATAGATTTGGATTTATCTCTTGACATGATACAGAGCAGGCAATCACATGTTGACACTGTCTCACCTATATTTATATATATAAAAACAAATGTTTCTTCATATTATTTATAGCTTTTATTATATGCATAAGTAAGTATAAGTAAAAGTATTACCTTTAAATCTCGGAAATAATTTTATTCTCTCTGATGTGAGCAACCACCTCTCTAAAGTAACTAGTGATAAAGTTTCTCCTTTTTTAGCTGAGTACAAATAAATCTTGCAGCTTGGACATAACCCAATAGGGTTGGAAAGAAGTGTAATATTATAATTAGTGTTGGCATACAGTTGAATCAAGATTAGTAAAGGATTTCCAGTTACCAGTTAAATGCATTTTAAGTTCTTATCACCACAGCAAAGACAAATAAGTTTTCTTGAAGAGAAATGATCCCTTGGTTTGTTTGGCATGTTAACTATGTTAATTATGCTAGTTTTAATGCAAGTAAATAATAAATATGTTAGATTTTTAACTAAAGCATATACATATATACATAATAAATTTAGTAACACTTTGACTAGTTTTACTTTAAATGGTTATATCTTTTGAACGCCAAAATATTTTTTATTGAATTTTTGAATATGTAACTGATGCTTGATTTTTCTAAAGATGGCATAATTTATTTTTTTTTAATAAATAAAGGGGGGGCAAGGGGAGGGGGAAAAGTTGTCCTGATCCCCTTTAAAAATTGATTTTCTCATCAGGACGTACACCAAATAATTTTTTCTTTTCATAATATTGTCTGTATAATAGTCCTAAACACTTTGTAATAAAAAAATTTTAAGTAATCAAATTTTCAACCTAAACAACCTAGAGTTGACTAGTGTTCATTGATAACATTTGTATATAGTATATATTTTTTATTTTTTATTATACTGTACTAAAGTTGACTTTTTATTTTTCTTATAACCATTAACCTTTAGTAACGCACGCATTTTTAGAAAGTATTGAAATAAGCATATTTTATTATAAATATGCTTAAGTTTAAGCATATTTTTGAGCCTCTTTTAACTTTTTGCTTAAGCATACCCGAGCCTGTTTCAAAAGTTTCATATGCTTATAAAAAAAAAAAACATGTAATAGTTTTTGAAAAATCAACAAGGAACAATGTCGTTACTTTATTAGCATTTTACTTTATTCATGATCTAAGTTATGCTACTTGACTCTTTGCTTAATACAAATGTTTTATCGTTTTTTTTGCTTACCATTTCTATGTATTCAAACACTTGCTCTTTGTTATGGGTTAAGTTTGACCTGTCTGTTATCTTCCGCTGATCTAATTCAACCTCATTTTCATCTTCAAATTCTCCTATTAAATTATGACTTTTTTCATGCTAAAATACCTTTTTCTAATGTAATTTATGTGCAGTTTGAACTACATAGTTTATTACATGTAAAAAAATTTTAGAAACTTATTGACCGGTCAGTTGAAGCAAGAGTCATCAACTGTATTTTTTTAGATGCTGTTGTAGACTCTGCAAATTTCTTAGCTAACAATACTATCATGTTATCAAACGAGTTTGCTTTTTCTATATAATTGTCCCCAAAACTAGACTGTTCTTCAAATCTTTCTTCAGATATGTTGGGATGTGGTTACCTTTTTTTTAATGGAGGTTGTTAATGCTCTCAATTTTTGTTTACTTTTCATTTTTATTCTTTTTGAAAAATGTATTATTATTCTACTTGAACAGTTTGGAAACAACTTTTTTCCGGTTGTAAGATTTGAACCTGCAGTTTCTGCTTCTCATACAGTATTAATTGATAATGTATTCTAATACATTACATAGTAATAATACGTAGAGATGCTGAGAATAAAATATAATAACATTACTTAAATATTTTAACTTACAATAATGATTTTAATGATTATTATTATGATATGATAAATCTTATTAATTAAAAGCTTACAAACTTTTTATTGAAGAATGATATTAACCATAAGAAAATAAATATATATTTTTTAACCTCTATACACTTTTTGGTGCGTCAGAAATGGATTAAAGCAACCCTTCTGATTACTCTCATATATTGTAACTAACATTTCATGATTGTGAGCGCAGATACTAGTAATTTGTTCTATTTTCTTATTTGTTTTTTTACAAGAAATTTAAGATCATTCAATATCTTCAATCAGATTTCCAACTTGCGTAAATGATTGTTTACAAAAACATTCATAATATGTGTAAAAAACAGTAGGTAGATATTTATATAACAGGTAGATATTTACTATGAATAGTAATGGTTATATGGCTTCAAACTTTTTGGTACCAAATTTCAGCATTACTACAAGCACCTTACTACAACCACCAACAAGCACCTTGTAGCGGTAATAGTAAAAGCAAAACTTTTCGACACTCGCCCTCCCCCTCCTCTGTCTTACCTTATCAGTTGAACAAACTTCAAGTTGCTAATAATCCTAAATGGAGTTATATAGAAAAACTTATATTCCTTACTTATATTTCTATGCATTTGTGCCAAATTTTAGCGAATTAGGTGATGTATGGTGTAACCCTGTGTTTTTTGTAAAAATTTAACCCTTTAATTAGTATTTAAATCAAGATCCTCAATTCAAGTCTCGGTATCGTTTTGAAATTTAGTTTTATCGAGAACGTATGAATAGATGTATTGTTTAAAAGCCAAGATATCCGCGCTATTCATTGATACAAATAACAATAGCAAAACAGTGGAGAACAGATGTTAACTATTTTTAACTTGAGAATATTTTTACTTGATTTTGCGTCAAAATAGCGAAATCTCGCCTAGTAAGAAATATTTAAACATTCGAACTATAGATTACTTGTGGTCTCTATTCCCTACACTTAGTGAAAACTAAGTGTAGGGAATAGAGACAACAAGTAATCTATAGTTCGATCTATAAATGATCTACAGTTTTACCTACAACATCTAGAAAATTCGTTTCACCTTGCAGTATTCATTCTTGCAAACTACATATCACTTTTTTACAAAAAAGTGATTTTTGACGTCTAAGTTTTATTAATAATAAGTTCTTATTAAAAAGCGCTCACGTATCAAATTTGACATTTTAAAACAGATGAGCTATTTCTGATTAACTAAAATGCATTGATTTTAAAAAAGTTAGAGTTTTAAATAGCATTTTTTTTAAAAAGTAGTTAGAAAAGCGAAACTATTGGAAAAACGTCGGTTTTTTAAATTATTCAGAAAAATGACGCTAAAAATTATAGCTTGGGTAGATTTTTATTTACTCGCGGCGCCTCGATCTATAACAATGCGTTAAACGTCCATCTATTAATACGTCCTTGGTTTTACATAAGTTTCATCATCCTTAATTATACAATTTTTTTACAACATGAAAATTATAAATATTTGTATAACTTTCCTGCACTACTTCTAAACTTTCGCTTCTAGACTTTCTATTTATTATATTAGGTGTCAAATGCTTATTTAAAGTTCCAATGACAGTACTTTTGCAACAACCAACTTTTTTAACAATCAATATGAGAAGCAAATTAAGATTTTGCGCTCAGGTGTGCAAAATTGCACACCTTTAAATAATAATGCAATTTAAAAAAAAAAAAAAAATTTAACTGAAATACATAATAAATAGAATAAAAAATTGTTTTTCTGTATTTTACATTTTATTTCTTATCATTAGGACCTTAAAAAAATCATACGTTCTGTACGATTTTTTTAAGGTCCTTATTATAAGAAATAAAAAGTGACATTTTTAACCCAAGAAGAATGTGAACTATTTTAAATATTTATTGAGTAGCAGAGCCATGGCCGACGAAACGGGTTTCGAAGTACCACAAGTGGGGGAGCACAATCGTAAATTTGAAAAAAAAAAGTCTATATCTAGAATTTTCTATTTTTTTAAAAAAAAAAGGTCCGTTAGAAAAAAAAGTGGGGGAAGTGGAAAGCACGTGCCTCCCCCCTCCCTCCTCGGTGTCGTCGGCCCTGAAGGCTGTATTCCAAAACAATTAAAAACCAATGAAACAACTTTCCAAAGTTGAAGTCAGATTAAAAATAGATTCAAAAATATTTGCAGTTCCAACTTCAAAAGATATCTAATTAGATCCTAATGACTTTAGTTACACTAAGCATAAAAAGAAAGATTTATTTTATTTTTTATTTCACTTTTAGTTTTTGAATATGCGAGGCAAGTAACAAAAGTTTATTATAAATCAGCCAACACAAGTTTATTATAAATTTTTTATTTACTTAAAATTTTATAACTATTATTTGTCGATTGTTATTTATCTTTTTAAATTATTTTTAGAATAACATGGGGCGTAATATCGGGCTTATGTTTGCTTTAATCGGAGGTTTTCGTATTGCTGCCTTTCTTTTCGTGCTGTTGCGTGCATATCGAGCAAAATGAGGGACAGTTACATGCATGTGTTGGTGTATATTCTTCGCTATTGGTTATTCGCATTTTTTAAAATTTATATGGTTTTATTTATACATTTTATTAATAAGTTGTATGTAAATTTTATATTGCTTTTGTGTTTTTTTATTGTTAGTTTTTATTTGAAAATTAAATTTTTTTTGTTGCATTTATTTCAGAGTTCTTTTTAAGGTAGCTTCACAGGAAATATTTTTTTTTTAGTAAAATAACTTAAATCAATTCTAAAATCAGTTTTATAAATTTATTTTAATGAAAATAATAATAAAATATAAAAGTTTATTAAAAGAAGAAAAAAAAAAGAGGATTTTTTTTAATAAAAAACGCTCAAAAAAGCATATTTTATTTTAGTTTTCAAAACACGATTATTCCAGAATGGCTAATTAAAACAACTTGGTACTTTGCAATATTATTTTCTGATATATAAGGTAGAGGATGGAATAAGTTCATAATATAAAAACAAAAATATTTCTTTTAAGTCCCAAAAAACTGAAAATTGACTAATTTCTAGGGAGGGGGGTGGCTAAGGTTCAAAAAAGACTTAGAAATCGATAAATATTCATTCAATTATGAAGATTTTAACTCATTTTCTACATATATAAACTGCCGTGGCGCAGTGGTAGCACACTTGCCTCAGAAACGTAAGATCCGTGGTTCAAACATCCACCTCTGGGCAAGTTTTGCGACATCGGTTGGAAAGGAGGCGTGAACGTCCTATTAAATGCTTTTCCGCGGTGCTCTGTGATAAGACCGTAAGGACTTTTTGGGGCACCTAAAATCAACATAAAAAAAGATATATAAATATATATGTATTGAACAATTGGGGAAAATTTGGAAATCTAGGCATTTTTTAATGTTGAAATATCATGTTTTGAGTTCATAAATTATGTTAAAATCTTCATTTTTAGATGAAAGGCAAATAAGTAAAAAAAGGTTTTGAAAATATCCTTTCTTGTAGATATATTTGGATAACTGTTCTTGATCTTTATCAATCCAACCTTTCCTAATTCCTCTCAGCTTTTTTTTTTTTTATGGTTGTCCTTTTTTCACCATATTCTCTAACCGCTTTTAATCTTTTTTTATTGAGCTGGTTATCGTATTTTTTCCAAAGTCTAGATTTAAATGTTTAAATACACAATAAATATCAAACGAACCTTCATTAAAAGAAAGAACCGCTTAGTTTTCAAGAACATCTATCTTTACATAAACATTTTAAGGACTTCGGGACCAGATAATACTATTTAGTCCTTCATTACAATTTTGAGTTAGCCCATAAAGATATTTTTTCAATAAATTGTTGTTGCTTAAATCATCAAAGTCTTTCTTGATAATTTCATAAATCCATTAAGGCAAGTTTAATTTAGGAGAATAGTTTTCATCTGCATTTGCATTTTTACTTTTTTTGAAGTATTGTTACCTTGAGTTATGAGTTATTTTATTATAGAGTTTTTGTTTTATTATTGTTTATTTTACTTTGTTTTTTACAGTTTTATTATTGCGTACTAATTGTGTTATGTTTACTTGTTACCTTGAGTTGAGTTCAAGTATTCTTATAATTACCCATTGTATATAACACTTATTAACACAACTTGTGTTAGTATGTTAGGTTTTGTCACAAAAAGTAAGTAATCAAATGATCATGAGATGATGCAATTTCAATAAGTAAAACGGTTTTATTTTTGAAACTGAACATAGTTAGCCTCTAAAATAAATCTTTTATTATTACAGAACACGAAACCATAGTAAAACAGTGGTTAAACAAAAAATTTCATATTGCTTTTTTCTGTTGCTATGGGCGTTGCTAAGGAAGCTACTTCATATCATACCTGACAAAAATGCAAAATAGTAGCTTATAAAATTGAAACTATTAAAAAATAGTTATACCATCATTTTCAACAATGTTAAAATTCTCAAAAATCATATTTTTCATTTTTTTTTTTTTTTTTTTTTTTGATTTTACACCTTTTATTTCCTGTGTAATATTTCGAAGGGTCTATCCAAATAATACGGAGATTTATTTTCCAAATGAATGTGTGCATTTTAAGGACTTCGTTTCCACTTGAATTGAATTTGATACTGATAAAACTAAAAACCAAATCATCTGGGTTTATTACTGGAAATTTGATCAAATAAGTTGAATCCATATTCCCTAATGTCAATGTTGTTTACTAATGTTTTTCTCTGCTATTGTTACAAATTATACCGGAGAAAGGCCCTTTTTAACTTTAAAAAAGGGTGAAGAAATCCTATAGGTCTAATAATGCAAAGAAAAACACTGTTCTTCAAACTAAAATTGTTCCATTAAAAGAAACTAACAAGGAAGGTGTGATTGATCATTTCGCAGATTTAAAAGGTTGCCGCAAAATATCAAATAATTTATTTACTTAATGTGACCTAGATGAATTCTTTAGAATTATCTATATTTTATTTTACCTGATATTAAAGTCAGATTGTCCCTTGTTTGTTCTTCAGATTAAATATTTATAATTATCTATTACATCTATTGGTTTTTGATCTAATCCAAGTTATGTTTATTTGTTAAACAAGCCATGTAAAAAATTCTGTGTCGAAGTTTTTTTTTTGGGACTGATGTGGGGGAGGGGAAGGATTAAATAGGCCTTAACTGTTATTTCGCTGGGGGGCTAGGATGATCTAAATACGGGCCTGATTAATGTGAGAGTTTAATCTCAAGATATAATAAAAATAATGGTAGGATGTTAAAAATGGAAGTGTTGTTTGACATTTTTTAGTCGCCTCTTTTTGATGGGTTGATGCTTATAGAAAAAAATGTGCAATCGCGTAGTTGATAAATTAAAATTTATTTAAAATAACTCGTTCTTGACAATTACTTCGCAAAGGCGGGAAAAAGCTACGATAAAAATAGATAAAAATGTTGAATGAAAAAAGCAACAACGTAGTCGTAAGTTGGATAAGAAAATGTTTTTAGTTACATGAATTTCAAATGATAATAAAAGAAGATCTTCAATCTTTAATATTAATCAAAAGTCATACATAATCAAAAGTCAAAATTTTTTCAAAAATTGATTTTTTGGCAAATTAGATATTCTAATTAGACCATCCAAATATTCGAGCTCTTCAACTATTCGAATATCAAATAGCAAAATCTTAAAATATTCGAGTAATCGAATACTCGAATAATCTATCAAAAGTATAAAGACATATTAACACAAAGAAAAATAGTTATATTTTAATAAAGAAAAGCGTTTAGTTTTGAACTATTTTATTATTTAAAACATTATTTCTTTTCTAAAAACATATATTTTAAAAATAAAATTGAATTAAATGTTTCATGATTTAAACTTCGTCTTTTTGTTTTGATTGCACCTGCTGTTGAGAATCTTTCAGAAGCTGTTGAAGTAGGCCGTATTGTTATAAGAGCATTATACAAAACGTCCAGCGTATCCGATCGTTTTTTGAAAGAATCAAACTGATGAAATGCTTTCTTTAGTTCATTATATTTATCAATTTGCTTGGTATTGCAAACATGACAGTTTTTTAGAGCTGTAATAGAACTTATTGTATTTTGGGGTTCTTTTTGTAGTTCTTTTTGGAATTTTTTTTGCAGTTCTTTTTGGAGTTCTTTTTGCAGTCCAACTTGTGGTGTTAATTCTATTAAATCATCTGCATCAGATAAAGATGAGGTAGAATCACTATTAATATGCTCTTCTATGAACATTTGTGGATATATTTGTTCCATAATTTTAACAGCGAATGAAATTGCTGCATTTTTTGACGAATATTTAAAATAATCGTTGGAACTTGGTATATTTCCACTCTGTAGGTAAATGATTAGTGTCATTAAAACTGGATCTCTTCTTTCATCCATCCTTTTTTGGATAGCATATATAAGTTTTTTTGCTATATCTGTTTGCATTGGTTGCAACTTTTCAAACAAAAATTTGTATACTCCTTCAGCTGTTATGAGATTTGCATCATTTTTACTCAATTCAACAGCAGTTTTAACTGGTGCGAGAACGTCAACAAGGTTTTGTAGCGCACAAATATCATTTTCAGCAATTGGATCAAAATTCAATTCGATTAAGGATTTGTTAATACATTCTAATAGAATTAAAAAACGTCGAATCATTACACTCAAAGAACTACATCGAGTTTTCACGTCTAATTTTAACTTAAGTTTTTTTCCCATTTTTAGAGCTATATTTTATTGCAAAATAGAATGCTTTGTAGCCGATTTTTTAAACATTCTTATAACACCTCTTAACCTGTTAATAACTTGGTCAAAATCAATATCCAATGTCATTACATTTTCATTTTCGCTAATAAACTGCAAATTGTATTCATAGCACTGATCTTCTATGGAATCTTCTTCTTCCATTTCTTCATCAGCAAACTCTTCGGTATCGTCAAACACTTCATTGGGAATAATATTTTTTATATAAAAACAATCCATACGGCTGCTGCGTCGTTAGTTAATGCAATAACATCATTTTTTAAGAGAATCCCAAAGTCTGCCAACTTAGCTTCAACTAAATGTTTAATTGTTTCAGCATTTCCCTGCTTTATTATTTCCGTCAAACCCAAAACATGGCTTTCAATTGTATTTGAGTTTATTCCAAGTACATGAGCTGTTACGTTTACATAACGTAAAATAGTGCAATCTGTCCATTCATCCACTGTAATAGCAAATTTACGATTTGCTGTTTTTAGTTTTTGAAATTTGTCCCGCAGTTCAATAAATTTTTCTTTATAAAAGCTGTTGATGCATTTTGAAATAGTTGTCGGACTTTTTGGCATTTCATAACCTTTTTGTTGCACGTAACCAGCTATAGCTTGAGATTTACTAATTGTCGTGATCGCCATTCCATCAACAGCTGCGACTTTTGACAATATTTCATTTAAAGATTCTTTTTTTACAAATTGCCAAATAGTACTTGTTTCAGTTTTTTGTTTTTTCATAGGAATATTATTTTCTCCATCAATTTCACTTGATACCGATTTACATATCAATATGTTGTGTCGTAGCTTTAAATGGTTAATCATAGCAGTGATTGAACTTTTCCATCCAATGTTCGTGTTGCACGTACCACATGTGGCTTCACCAAATTTTTTTTCATCTTTCTTAAAAAACTTCCATACCTCGGATTTTTTTGACATGGTTAAAAAAACCAAAGATGTAAATATGTATGTAAGAAAATCTAACAAATTTTAATTTACCTGAAGT